CAGTTACGTATATCGTTGGTCAAAGATACCAATAAGAACAAGGCTTAGCAACTCGTTTCTTTAAAACAACGAGTTTGAGTTACCAGTTCCAACCTTTTTTATTATATAAACGATTGTTTGGTATGATTATAATACATTTTAAGTACAAGATAATATATGTTAAACTAACATTACAGTGATTATTCTGAATGCAAACAATGTATCGTTTAGATTTCGTGATTTAATTGGTATGATTGACTGCTTTAAGTATGATTAACGATAATTCTCAGTAGAAACATTAAAACTTCGACAAACCCACGCTAGGTGACAGTTCTGTTATGTATACGTATTTACACTGAGAAAAGGAAAAGTTATTCCTAACGTAAACCAGTTGTTGTTGTTGTTACTGTATTTCGTTCCGTATATTATTTATCCAATTTCTAGCTAACAACCATTATTGACATCGTAATAAAAAAACTAACATCCATTCTTATAACCCGTGTCTCCCGGTGAGTCAGCGTTAAGATTATTGACTTAACAACTCTAAAATATGGGGTTCGAACCTCCGTGGTGGACATATCTCAAATAGCCCATTTAATATCTATATGTTAAACAAAACAACAACTAAAAACACGTCGATATTCGGACAGTAGCGACACCCTAAAGTGAATAAGTAACTAGTACTTTATTTTGTAACGAAATTTCTATGTCGACTGAAGTGCCATTCTGCAGCATATTATTGTAGTTTTTTTTAAAAAGTTGAACGTTTGTATATATATATATATATATGGGGGGGGGGGAGTTTTTACGTCAGTTGATGAACTCGTGGCTTAACGACTAGAACTTTCTTCAAAGTGTAAGAAACAATTTTAATTGTTTATTACTCTTGTGGGTCTCTTACGGTGGAGGATTGATAACTGATTCAGCAAGTTTGTTTTTCAGTCTTACTGTTATTTCACTTTTGTGAATATTGAATTTGTGTTCCAACCAAGCACTAGAGATACAAGAAACCGCCGTAAGTACGAGATAAAATTTGTTTGTTTGTTCTTAAGCAAAAAGCTACATAATGGGCTATCTGTGCTCATCCCACCGCGGTTATCAAAATTGGATTTTTAGCATTTTAAGCCTTCGGATTTACCGCTGAGCCACCGAGAGGGCAGAAAACTATTAAGCGAAATTATTGTGTTAGCAGCGTCTATTATACTACTATAAAATTAGGCCAATCAGCAAACGTTAGTTAACTTGAAAATTTTACAGTCGTAGAAATAAAATGCTTTTGTTATCATCAAGGGGACAGGACTTTTCTTCTCTCTCGTTTTTTACCGTGTAATAAAAAAAAACAAAAAGTTACAGTTTAAATACCAAAAGCTGGGGAATCATTTGAAACCAAGAAACCAATAGGCTTAAAATTTGTGATAAGCGTCAGGTAAAATGCAGCTTTTTTTAATTGCTTTTAATTTATCCACTTTGAATTCAAAATCAGAAGCATGTAAGAGTAATATTTCACATATATCTTTTGTCTCCCACAAGTCACCGTACAACGGTACAGTTAACTAATGCGTTATTCAGTATTACACTGATATGTCTACAGGATGGTCATCCTGTAATATACATATATACAGAATATTATGATATCATATTATAATATACAGAAATTAGTTTGATTGTTTTGTTTTTTTCACAAAAGAGAAATTTGTCGTGTATATTCCTTTTATTTTTATTTTCAGAAATGGCACGTGTTGACCCTTTATAGAAATCTGGATTTTGGAGCTGGCGAGCTACATTCGAATCCGTTTGTTACCATAAAATATTCCCAACACTTTAAATGTTGGGTGCGTTAGAAGAGTGAAAGCAATCCCGTAACGTGAAGGGTGGGTGGTCGGGTGCTACTCTCCCTCTGTTTAGTAGTTTAAAATTAGAGACGGTGTCAGATAGCCTTAATAGTTTTAAAATTGTAATAGCTTTCGTAGATTCGTTTGTATTAGCTGATGTAAGTAATTCTTTTAACTGTTTCATTAACTCCAGTAAATCTCCGATTTTGTCTCACAGAGTCATCTCAAAAGTTGCAATTTACTCAATGTTTCACTTTGTTTTTCTCAAAATAGTCCCACTACTGATACCCGTGCTATAACGTCATTTTGTCGGTGGGCTCATTTTTTAAGTTACCTGGTGAAAATAATTCGACGCAACCATTTCATGTAATAATATCAAATTAGTTTTTTATCATTAACATTTATACAAACTTGTACACGTTGTAACTTGTAGACCTATTTTACAAATGACATTCAAATAAAAGTATCTCGCTAATAGTAGCTACTACGACTAAAGCACAAGTAAACTTACTTGTAAAAATTTCACGGCTAATTGATCGAGTAACAGAGTGTATGCGATAGCTAACACTGTTCCAACTACTTCACTGAAACTAAGTACAATGTACTTGTAAACTGACTAACTTGATTAACAACCACTCTGCAATCATATGCTGAATATTTCACTTTGATATTTACTACTAGTTTAAAGCAAGAAACATTGACTCAGTGCTTCACTGATTCTCCTATTTATAATCTTCTCAAATCTATTAATACTCTTCTAACTTACTAGATTTTTTGTGATGTCAAATTTAGAATATTCTAAATCTAAAATAATGCGCCTCCTAGATAACAATTAAATCGAAATATAAAATATATATATATATAGGTTACCACGATACAAATACTTTTCAGAAACATATTGGTTCTTTAATGGAAGTATCATCTTGAAAATGATATTATTTGTTCTGTACCTAAAGGACACGTATTTTTACCCATCTTTCTCCACCGGCAGAAGTGTACCGTGTTTTCTTTATTAGCCTCTTCCTCTACCTTCGATAATTGTGACAGACAGAACTTTTATTCCATTGTGTAGCTTTGCGCTTAATAATAAAGAGATAAATAGACAAAACAAAATTATCTACATTTAAATGGCGACTTTCTCAGTCAATATTGGAAAGAGAAATAAATGCAGAGAATATTCAGTAATTTTTAATAAATTATCATATATGTTTGTAATTGAACAGGGTCGTTACAACTGCACTATAATAATGTTACGCCTCTGTGTTCGTTTTTAATTTTCCGTAAAAATTATTTCCCAAGAAACTTTAGCGATACAAGTCCTTTCTTGAATAAAAACTAGTTTATTCTTTTTTAATACAACTTTGCAATACACTTAATTTCCACAGTCACGCTATAATTCACAACGAACGATTCACGCGCTTTACCCGTCTCTATCTCTGTCTGCAATTCAATTCCCTTTGTTGCCGTCACTTCTTGGCGGTCTTATATACAAGAATACCGCACATCCAATAAACACTCGAACATTCACGAACCTTCGAAAATGTCATGACGTGTTACTAGCGTCACGTGACTTCCGCTGTCGTAACAATAATGAAAATCGAGTTCATTTATAAATGGTAATAAATAAAATTAAGGTTGCTATTTATATGCTCAGAACAGTTAGGCCCAATGCGCAAGGTATGTACCACAAATAAACGCCACACTAGACCTCGAGGGGAGAACAACGAGCCCCAGTGCTAGGCCTGTTTCCCCCCCCTCCCGTTTGTAAGTCGGCCAAACCCATAGTGAACGCGTCAAGCGCAAAACGTAAATAGGCCTAGCAAATGTTCCTGCACAGGGCCTAGAAAATCTTAACGCCGGCTGTGGTTAGGCTTGCTTCAATGCTATTGTAATCTTTCTAACTTTAGCTCGTAATTTTTTGTTAGCCCCTGTGAGTAAGTCTTTTAGGCTACTTGTGACTAAGAAACTGTGTCCATAGGTATGTCAACAGCAGCGATATCTCGTAATGTATGTATATTTCATATTTTATTCAGGAACACAGTGGTACGCTGACGGAAGAGAACCAATGTTACCAAATTCAGAATCGGACGACAAGAGCTTGAACTTTTCGTCTCATTGTCAATCAGCAAAACATGAAACCTTGTCTAGTGACGGCAGTTTGTCTAAAGGCAAGGTTTTGCTCTATTCGTATTATGTGCTTATAAAATTTAATAATATATTATTGGGTTTTAAGACAAACTACTTTTAAACATTTTGTAGGCTATCGTTATTAATACATATACCTATGTATATATGTGTATGCATTCTTAAGTGGTAACAAATAGATACGTCTATTCCTCAAATTCGTTTGGATTCTATGCATTTTTATTTTGAAATAATTAAATTTATAAAGTTTATAACTTCAGACCATATTACAAGCACAATTTGAGCAAAGCCCTGATTGTGACTTTATAAAGTTTGTTTTGAGTTTCAGAAACTTTATGTTGCGTCAGCGAGTTCACGTGACTAGTATCACGCCACGTTTTCTAGAAATATCCTGTTCCTTCAAGAATGCCCTAA